TGGATGGATGGATGGATTTATGGATGGATGGATGGATTTATGGATGGATGGATGGATGGATGGATGGATGGATGTATGGATGGATGAATGGATGGATGGATAGATGAATGGATGGATTTATGGATGGATGGCTGGATGAATGGATGGATTTATGGATGGATGGCTGGATGGATGGCTGGATGGATGGCTGGATGGATGGATGGATGGATGGATTTATGGATGGATGGATGGATGCATCACTTGCCTTTTCCTCGTCATGACTAACAATGAAAACAGTTTTGTTGCATTAATTTTACTTCAGTTTATTTCTGTAGCTCCAAGTCACAACAGAATTGTCTCAGGACTCTGAACAGAAACATTCACATATAAAAATAAGTTAATAACAGTTTTATCCAAGGAACTCTATTTATTTAAAGGTTTCAAAGAATATAAAGCAGCTCTACACCCGGCTTGTCTTGACAGCTTTTAGAAGATAAATGAAGCTGCATTTGAGAAAACACAATAAAAACCAGTATTTAAAGTCGTAACACATCTTAATACTGAAAAAACTCACCGTTTTCATTATGGACCTAATGTGCAGTTTAACAATCACACTACCAGTAATTCACACTGGGCTCTAACAAGTCAACCAAGTATAACACGAATACATTAAGTGAATTATACCAGAAGTTACAGCAGCAACAGAGACGCTGCCTCACCTCTGTCCATCCATTGATGGGGTGCAGGTGTACTCTGGGGGGTAGTACGGAGGTGGAGGGATGGGGGGGACGAACTCGTCAAAGTCCAGGGTTTGATGGAGGATGGTGCCGTGTGGAGTCACACACTCAGCATGTAAGGCTCGAGCTCTGTGCGGCATAAACTGAAACAAAGCACAAGAGGAGGCTCCAGCAGGTTTTTATTGCACGTTACTTTATTGGGACTTTATTGTTTTAATCATTTTAGGGAAAAACAAGCAAATATGAACTTTGGATGTTGTGCTTCTGTTGTTTGAAGTAATTACAGCTCAGAGATGTTCATGGCAGTGAAGTCAGTGACCTGACTGAAATGTAACGAGGGGAAGAGATCCAGCTAGAGACAAACTTTAAATATCTTAATTATTGATGCTGTGATCGGTTTGTTTAAATACTGATCTCATTTCCATCAGTGTATTGATGTTGGACAACCTCCTTAAGTTAATCAAACGAATATGTTAAAATGACAACCAATAAAAATAACACAATAAAAGAGAGTCATGACAATAAAAAGCACATTAGGGTTCAGTACTCTGTTTGGATCAGGGCAGAAAATAAAAGAACGTTCAGCGCAGATTTAAAGGACGTCACTATTAGATGGAGTGATGAGGGAAGAGCTTTAAAACCAGCTGAAATAAAGTTTGACACACTTCAGCGTTCAGAAGTTCATTTAAAATATATTTTTGTGCCAATCTAGATGCCTCCGTTTTCATCTAATTGTTAAAGGCTGATGTTTAAGTTGATCACAAATTTTCACTTTCATGGAACATATTGAACAAAGTTTTAAATAATTTATTACGAGGATGAAGCAAAAAGTCTAGTGTAGTTTATTTATAATGAATGTCATAATGCAAGTCCTTTTTCTCAAAGGCATTTGTAAATCCAACAAGTCTCGAACAATCAATCCCCTTTACTCTCTTAACAACGTGGAGTATAATGTAGAATGTAATGTAGAACAATGACAACCTATAGGGTTAAATTCAAGAGATGATGAACAATATTCTGTTTTATTTCTCTGATACATTTTTAGAATTTACAAAAATAATCCAACGTTTTACGTCACTTCAAAAATGAACCAAAAAAGAGCTAACAGAATTTACATCTCTAAAATAACTTTCTACATTATGATGCAATACGCAGATTGAAATAAAATCACATCTTTTTAAATCTATTAAACTCGGCAGAAACAAAGAGAAGCCAGAACATTTTGCAGGACAGTCGCTGCTTTTATGACCGATTTGCTTCTTCGTGTTGTCAGGGCAAACGTGCAACCACAGGCAGCAACTTGTTTACACGTGCACTAAACTTGCAGAGTGAAATGTCTGGAAGGTTCGTGCATCTTAAGTTGCTGAACCGTGCTGACAAGTTTCTCTGCTGCGTGGCCACATGAACCAACACTTGCTGTTGCTCCATCACTCACCATCTGCAGCACATCGGTTGACACCATCTGCATGCAGCACATGGCCGTGGCGAGGGCACACACGATGGTGGAGATGACGTTCAGAGCACAGACGCTGAACAGCAGCTCCTGCAGGAGGCGAGACAGAGGAGGAGGCTGTTAGGAGCAGAAAGCTGAGGAGGAGGAGGAGGAAGAGCAGGAGGGAGACGAGAACGTTAAAAAGGAATGCAAGGTTAGGAAACATGACGATGTGATGTCAAATCCTGCAATACACAAAATATTGTGTTTCTGCTTCTTTGAGTGTTTTAAATGAATTTAAATGATTTAAATGATTTAAATGAATTTAAATGATGAGAAGAATCCAAGTTATAAACATACAAACCTTTAATCATGACAGCAGCGGACATTAGTGGACAAACTGACATCGACTCTGTCAGCAAATGTAAAACCAACGCAGACATGTTCCTGTTTCGCTTTACAACCTAGCTGTTTTAGTTTTGTTTTTTACCATTTATTTTATTTGTTCTTCTCACTTTCTTTGCTTTCCTTCTTAGGTTCTCTGCTGCTCTCATCACTTTTGTTAAATCAGGTCTCTGTTGTAAACGAGGCTCAATGAGACAAACCTGTAGAAATAAAGGTCGAATGAAACCTGTGCACGCTGATAAACCAGAGGACAAATAAGAACTGCCGTTTGTTCTGCAGGCCTTTATTAAGGGGATCAGTTTTAACCTGTAACACCTGAACCGTGCACGCTCATTTCCTTCGTGCACGTTCATTTCCTTCTATAGAGGCAGAGGGAGGATTGTAGCCTGAACTGCTGGTTCAAAATAATAAGAGTTATGAATTTTAGTCATTGAGATTAACAAAGAACATTTATTTTTATTTTATTAAAAAAATAAAGTAGTTTGAAGAAAAAACAATCTTATATAGTCTACCCCTTCTCTAAAAGAGATCCTGGTTTAATATTTCTTTGAAGACAAAAAGATGCAAGTGTTTGTAATTAATCCATCTATCATCATAACATGGCAACAGCATCTGTGAGATGATGAAACAGCAAAGAGTCAAATTTTGAACATGAGAAAACTGCAAAAGGAAAATATCCATCTTTTCAGACACTGTGTATAAAATCACGTGTGTCTTTGTTGTTGAGCTCATACGAGACATTTACAAACCACAAACAGCTGAAAGCCCAGAGAAGGACAGTGTGAACACTGACACGTGAAGCTCCTCACTGGCAGCAGGACGTGTCCTCTGGCCTGCTGTGCACAACAACGCCCACTGACATTAGTGTTGGTCCTGCAGAGACGCTGCACCGAGTTATCGTTTGCCTTCAAAGTGCCAGTACCAGGATTTTACGAGATCCACACGTGTATTTTGTCTTTTTTGCAGCGTGTGGTATAAAATAAATCAAGCAGCCGTTTGACTTGGCAACAAGTGTTTTTCCTTCAATTTAATTTGGTCTGAGCTGGAAGTGGAAACAACCTGAGTTACTTACAGTAAGAGCCAAACATGACAAATAACTCAAATATATATTTGATTAGAGACTAACAGTTTTCAAAACTTCCTACACTTTCTTTGCCTTCAGAATAAAAGTTTGACATTTTGTTCGTTTTTCAAATTAAAAATATCCTCAGACTTTACATAAACAATAGCTTCTGTCATTCACATTTAAATCACAGCCCATTTAATGTTTAAAGACTGTTATTGTAGCCAAACCTCCCCCTCCCATGGGATGCCCGTTTTCCGTGCGCCCTGGTCCTGGTCCTGGTCCTGGTCCAGGGTCTTCAGGCCTAAGGAAGCCTCTGGTGCTGTGTGAAACTCCACCAAAGCAGCTGCCTCCCCCTGAGATTACTCAGGCACTTAAACCTCACAGTGGCGTTCAGGAACCTCTGGCTCTTAATCACAAGTGGGGGGAATGAAGCGGAAGATTTATGGGTGGATCATTGCAGCATCTTCAGTGATGCAGGCACTGCACCAGTCTGTCATAGTGGGAGAGGGCTGAACCGAAAGGCAAAGCTCTCGGTTTACTGGTCAATAAATCAGCACGATGCCGCAGACGTTTATGAGCTGTGAGATTTGCTGATACAAGCAGCAAGAAGGAGCTTCCTCTGACGGGTGTCTGGACTCAGCCCCACAAAGAGGCTGTGGAGACGAGCTCAGATTAGAGCTGCTGGAGAGGAGCCAGCAGAGGTGTTGGACCTCTCAAGTGGAGGGTTGTAAGCTTGACTCCAGAGGCTCAGCTCCCCAGAGCTACAGGAGGTCATCTGCTGCCCCAGAACCTCCACCCAGACTAAAGAAAAGTGAGACGGGTGGAAAAATGAATTGCTGCTTACATTTTAGTGCTTAGACTTCTGTGTGTCCCACAAAGACCTGAAGCTTCAAAACAAGTATGGAAGTTGGTTTTGGAGTCGCCACAATGGAGGAATACACAGAAGAATGAGCCGACGACGAGACCCAACTGCTGCCTCTCAGAGCGTGAAGCTTCAACAAACTGAGGACCAAACGAGTGAACCCTGTTTGTGTCCATTCATCATGAAGCTGCCCGTCTGACTGCAGCCCACAGGGCATCCACTCCTGCAGATCTTGAAGGACTTCCTCCTGGAAGCTCTGCAGCTTCTGACACATCAGATCACTCAGTTGGACATTTTCTAACATCCAGGTATGATTTTTGTGCCATGTCCTAAAATATTAACGCACTGATGAGGACTAACAGCACAGTCATCTTCATTATTTGTATTCAGTGTTTAGGGATAGTTCCTGAGCCAAACAGTCATAATGACACAAGTTCAACTTTCATTATAACTAAAGTTTAGATTAAAACAGATTTAAGTCACATTCATCGTTCTCCTCTTTAAAGTACTGAGACAATTCACTCTCCCAAAGAGAACTAGTTGACATTATTCATCACGTTGTTAAATGATTGTCAATAACATGGTGTATTTTATCAAATTTATTGCGTCATCGTTCTACCTGCGGTCTGTTTGACTCTTTTTCTGTGCAGCTCACTTTTCTAAATGACAGAACATCTCAAAGCTGCTCACATTCACTAATCTTTCTGTTATTGTGGTCAGAAGGTAAAAAAAGTCAGAAATGTGGACACGGTTCAGTTCTTCACAGTTCTCAGTCCTAGTGTGAGCAGTTTGTCCATCAGGGTTTGGAGGATCATGGTGTTGAAGGCAGACGTGAAGTCCACAAAGAACATGGACGTAGGAGTCCTTCTGCTCCAGGAGGGTGAGAGCAGTGTGGACCACAGAGGAGATGGTGTCCTCTGCTGATCGGTTCTCCATGAATACTGCAAAATCTGAGCTTTTCTATAAAGCTCAGAAACTGAGCTTAAAGGAAGAAACTCAACTAGTTCGTAAAACACTGGTAAAGTTGCTGCAACGTGCATATCCTACAAATACAAAAAACACTGAAGAAAACATCTGAATCTGTAAAGCTGCGAGTGGGAGACGGTTCCTTCAAGGAATACTTGGACCTTTTTTTGATCTCTAACAGGAACGCTGCGTTGCATAAGTCTTTAAACACAAAAATATTTAAGATGGCTTCATTTTGATCCATCTGCCACAGATTAAATCACAAGTGCATACAAATCCTGCCAGGCTAAAATAATAAAACAGTTCAACAGAATTATGATGCTTCCTCTATATAAACATGACTGCTCACCAAATATTTAACCTCTGGAAGAAACCGCACCCCCGGGTCAGTCAGGGATAAATTATATTTCCGCTTCTGAACAGGAAACCACAAATTACCCCCACCCACACACACACACACACACACACACACACACACACACACCCACAGATGATCACCAGCCTCAGGCAGTGGAATGAAAAGAAGAAAACCCTGAGTGTGAATTAAATGTGTCTGGAGAATGAATGGCGTTTTTAAACACTATATTAAAAGGATGAAAGCTTCTTCAGGAACTGAGCGACTGCAGTGAATAGTAAATACGTTTACTGCTTCCTCTTCCTTCTTCATAACTCTGTTATCCTCTTTTTGATTTTAGAACCAGAACATGGGAGCTGCATCATCATCAGCATCAGTTATCTGAAGCAGAAACACTCCTCAGACTCGGAACAGACGCCTTCTTCTTTGGCATAACTCCACATGTCGGACTATTTTGGTACTGAATGAAGGTTTGAAGCACCAATTCCCCATCTCTTTAAAGAGTTATGATCACGGTGACAAATGTACTTGATCTTTCCTCCTGTCATCAGTATTCTTCCCTCCAAGAAGTCTTTTATTTGTTAATCACTGTTCTATAATCAATCAGGGACATCAAATGAATGGATATGATTGTCTTTAGTCAATAAAGACTCAGTCCTGCGGACACTAAATCATTCCTGTTGACTCAGGGAGTCCAGAAAATCTTTTCAGGTCATGAACTCACAAACTGCAGCCGGCCCAGAAACCAAAGATCATCCTTCTGGAAAATGATACAAGCTGTTTCTCTCAGACTGAAGACAGGGTGAAGGAGAGCCCTCCTGCCCCGATGGAACACCAGGATTGTCGGTTGAGGACGTTGAAGACGTGTACGACATTGGATTATGATAAGAGGATTTCTGCTTTTTGGGAGTTGGTGGTAAACTGGCTTATTGACAAATCTGGGAGGCGTCAGCAGCTGCTCTGGTCATTGTGAAGCTGCCTGGCATGGAAGGAATGTGCCGTGCACTCAACACTCACACTCAGACGATGTGCGAGCGAATCTCACTGGAGGGAAGAAATAGATCTTGGAGAGGTTGGTAGCTCGACTCTGCGTGTGTAATCATCTGTCTGTCTGTCTGTCTGTCTATCCATACATACACACAGACAGACAGACAGACAGACAGACAGACAGACAGACAGACAGACAGACAGACAGACAGACAGACAGACAGACAGACAGACAGACAGACAGACAGACAGACAGACAGACAGACAGACAGACAGACAGACAGACAGACAGACAGACAGACAGACAGACAGACAGACAGACAGACAGACAGA